TTTAAAGGGCGCACAAAAGCCACCGGAAATTGCTCCCGGCTCTTCCGACGTTACGGACGTTCTACGCCTGTCTTTCTCTCCTTTCGGCTCCATCCTCCTCCTCCTCCTCCTCCTGTTCCTTCTCACTCTCTCTCTCTTCGTGTTTCTCTTCCCTCCCTCTTTTTTCCGCCATCGACGATTTTCAAGAGGCGGCAAGAGTTCCGATAATGGCAGATTTGGATAGCGGCGACCAAGAAATGATATTTCTCTGGCGATTTGATGACGTTTCGACGTATACGAATTCGTCTTCACCTGGATACGTGTCCCTTGATCGATTCTTAGGGAATGGAGAGAGATGATTTGAAATCGATGGCACGTGTCGATTTAAAATTTAATCAATTTTCGACTCGCTATCGTTCGACTCTTTATATCTCAGCGTTTGAAAATTACTTCTTTACCAGTGCAAATTGCCTGTACCAACGGAAAGATATCAATGAGACATCTTTCCATCTGACCGTTGACAAAATATTTACTCTAGAAAGAGGAGGAGGAGGAGGAGGAGAAAGAGGATAGGAGATGGGAAATAGGCAGAGAAAAGAAGGAGAGAGGGGGTCCAAGTGAAAGTTGGAAGGAAGGAAAAGTTGAACGAAGCAGGCCGCGTTGCTTTTTGATGACTTCGGGGAACTTCATCCTGGCCGAGATGAGGACCTAAAAAGAGACTTTGAAACTTAAATGTTGATATGGAAAGTAAGAGATCTGGGGCGTTGTAGATTAAACGATCAATCCCCTTAGGATTTTTTCAACTGCGAAACAGGGGAACCTGGAAAAAAACGTTTCATCATCCTCCCCAAGCGACGTAATGATAATCTAAGAGTTCAAGAGGTGCAACGTTTAATGTAAAACGCGAAAAATCGATCATTTCTTTCCTTTTTTAATCATTAATCATCGATAGACAAAACGCTGTTACACACCAGCCACGTAACTTTCCCTTACTTCGTCAGGATGAATATTTAAATCGATCTAGCTTTCTAGAAAGGTTAAACCGTTTCGTATACAATCCGCTTTATATATTAATTTAATAAAAGTGGGATAAATAGTCGTAAGAGTGGATAATGGGAAGATTACTGTCAATGGGCGATCAATGCTTCGTCGATCCATCACCCTCGAAGAAAATATCGACCGACTTCTTTATTCGGCTGGTATTAACGACGTTTCGAAAGACGTGCGATCGAACCGAGTTTTTGACGAGTAATCGATACGTAATGTACATAACCCCTGGCCGTACGAAAAGAAAGAGAGAGAGAGAGTAGACATTAACGATTAATCAAGAGGAGATATTTACATTATTCGTGATAAAACGTTATCTTGTTGACAGACGTCCGTTTTCGCTTGGACGTACGTACGCACGGTTTCGTGATATATTTTTATTTTTATTTTTTCTTTTCCTTTTCGTGGCACGCGAGGGAGAACTTGGAAACACACACACACACACGATGCTACTTACATGCCCGGCCAGAATCCCGTGTGATGTAATCGCACGCGATCGATTACGTCATTGGGTGGCAGCTCAATGCGAAGTCGATCGATCTCCCATAAATTACGGATGATCCTCCACTAACTACGAGACGTCCACTCATCCCCTATCAAGCACGGCTCGCCTGTCGAGTTGCGGGTGCAACGACTAAGCCCTCTATCTGACCCTTCCAGACCCTTTTCGTCTCACGAATCTTCATCGGGATCCACTCGGCTATGTCACACGCATTCGTCCTAATAACTGGTATTCGCGTCTAAACCATTTGTTCGGGGAGAAAAGCTTGGAAAGATAAGGGGAGCTTCCTATCTCCCCTCCCCCCTCTCCGAGTTCTAATTTGAAAAAAATTCGATCGTTGGATCGGCTGGTATAAACGGGTATATCGTTACGATTATCGTAATAAAAATTCGAGCACGATTTTATCATACGTTGTATCATAATGTTATACCTTTTTTTTTTTTTCCTTTATTCCTAGGGATGTATGCGGGGATATATATAAATTTTTATTCGAAACGAAATATTTCGGTTACCAATATTTCGGGATAAAAAAATTTTTCGGAAAAATTGCGCGTGTCTCGTAATAAATCTTCGTCGGCGGATATTTTCGATATCCGTGTGGGATGGGCAACAGCGATCGTCAAATGGCCCGCTCGACTTATTAAATTACTTACAGAGATACGGATATTGCATATTTCGTTTCGTTGCTTACCATTTCCCCCCGTATTTTTTCTTTTTTCTCTCTCTCTCTCTCTCTCTCTTTCTCCTTTCCTTTCTCTTTCCTTTTTCTATTTCGAGACTCGTAGATAGATAAAACACGATTCGGGATATCCTTTCGACACATACGATCCCTCACAGCCCTCGTAACTGATACAGATATTTACGCGTAACGGCGTTGCTTTACGTTTTTACAGGCAATATTTCAGAGAAATTGCAGTTTGAATCGCGGTGTCAAGTTTTAAAAAGTATAGCACCGACATCATGACTCTGTTCCTTTTTTTTTTTTTTTTTTTTTTTTTTTCTCCCCTAATTTATCACACACGCGCGCATATCCATCATACAAATCCTCCGTTGTTAGTGGTGGTCGAATTGCGCTAAAAATTATGCTCCGCTTATCCCCGTGATAATTATCGAAAATTTTTCAAAAAAGATCACAAACTGCGAGGAGGGGTGGGATTTCCCCGAAAATTGATACTTGCCGCGTTTGTGATGGATCGTTGGCGTGGTGGAAAGGGAGGGAAAGATACGTGCGCGAATTGCGAAACCGTGGGGGGAGGGGCGACACTGGTAAATGCTAATACAGATATATCGATGCAAAGGAAGTGGATTTTAACGTTCTCGGGGGTGATATCGATTCCGTATAACCAGAACCACCCGGCCTCCCAAGGATACTGTAAAATCTGATCACGAACGATATTATCGCGATATATATGTATGTATATATATATGTATACATATATAGGCAGATATTATTCATGTACGTTGTACGAAGAAGCCACGGGCTATGGTGGACTCGAGGCCAACCCCTCGCCGAGGAGATCCTTTTACAACGTTTGCCGGTACCCAAGTCCGCGATTAGCGACCCTTCGTGACTCGTTTCCTGCTCGTCCTTCGCGGCCTACCCCTCACTTCCTCGCTTTATGACACTCTCCATTCAAATCTCTCCTCTCGCTCATTATTCCCCGTTTTTTAACGACCACTTTACCGTCGTCTTCCTTTCGTGTCGCGAGTGCTTGCTTCTTTCCTTGCTCTTGATAAGTTTCGTTGTATTCTTGATAGAAAGAGGAAAATCGGTGAGTTATTGTTGTTGTTGTTGTTATTATTGGCAAGGAAGCGAGCGAATACCTGTTGAAAGACTCGTGTGAAGCGA